GGTGGGTGCTGCTGAGTGTGTTGAGGGTGCTAGGGGTGGGAGTGGGGTGTCCCAGGGCTGTTGGACAGCAAAGAACTCAAAATGGTGGCCTACAAGGAGCTTGGTGGTTTGGGGGAGGTTGAATCTGGTGGCCCATGGCCTAAAGGAAGCTAGACTGCCGGCTATCTTGAGACCAGGAGAGGAGAGAGGGGGTTTGGCGTGGTAGCCAGCGCCATAAAAAGCAGGCGCAGGGGTGGTTGTCTTTACTTGAGTGCCTAGGAGGTCATTGGTCTCCGTAGCATCGTCACATATTCAACCTGAGGCTAGTGGCCAGCTCCGGTGGCATTTGAGAAGGAAAAACTGGTGTTGTTTCCTGTCTGTCCATCATCACCCACGTCAGCAGGACATTAAAAGCAGCAGGGATTTCAGTGCTTAGAACACGTGCTTGCAAGCACATCCCTGCAGAGTTCCCTCCGTGTCAACCAATGCAGGCTGAGAAGAATCTCCTTCGAGGAATTGAGTTGTTGTCTCCCAAGGTAGACAGCGGCTTTACATTCCCGGATGTGTTTAGGGGGAGTAAGCGGGTGAAGAAAACACACAGAGGACATCGCTGCACATGGGTTGCCTACAAAGGGTGGTCTTTGTCCAGTAAGCCGTTGGCTTCTCGAGTGCCCTCCGTGTTGGGAGCGAAGGGCAGTGCTGCTGGACCGCAGCTCAGAGCAGCCCTGCGACGAGAGCCAGGTCCCTGCTGCAAGCCTACGAGACAGACCTGGATGTCCCCCACTCTCTCAAGTGGCTGGTGGAAAATCGCAAGAATATTATCAGGGCCCCTGGGGCGATTCGGTTCTACACTGCTGTATTTAGTCACAGTAGTGGCTTCTCTCCTTGTCCATGTCTCTCACCCAAGTGCTTGCCCCTGCCCCGTGGAGGATTCAGTGGACAGGCTTTAAATTGTCTTTTCGAGTGCGAACTAGAGGCCAGCAGAGAGGATCACTCTAAGGTGGATAATGATGGAAATAGGCAGCAGTCATCTTGAGAACAGACAAGGCAGTAGTGCGGAAGATGAATCGGTTTGCGCCTTATTGAGGCAGAGGCGATGAACGATGAAGGCAGCCCAGTTAAAGTGACACTGGCACCTCGGAAAATGTACAGTCAACCGTGGTCCCTTGGGGGCTTTGAAATGACACCACCAGTGGTCTCAGGATTGAAGTGTGGCTCAGGGCCCGCTCATATTTAGTGGACAGCACTTAGTAGCTCTGGAGGCAGGTGCAGAGTTAGGTGATCCCCAGGAGGAGGGAGAGGATGTGGAACCCTTAAGGCTCTGGGGAGAAGTCTGCCCCTGTAAGCAGTGCCAAGGTGCCACAGAAAAAAGCTGAAACTTACAGCTGCTGATGACTGAGGATGAAGATGATGGTGATGAAGCTGAAGGGAGAGCTCCAGTGAAGGGATCTGTGCGGGGTCCTCCAGCCCAGAATACCCATGGTCAGACCAGCAGGGAGAAGACCCAAGCCCTTCAACACCAAGGTCCAAAGGCCAAGAACCTTGAGAAAAATAAGTCAGGACAAATCTCCCCCAAACACTGAAAAAAGGTCCTCGTTCTGTAGAAGATACTGATGTAAAATGCAGGCAGCTGTAGGCATGGGGGTTCTCTTCCTGAAGTGGAAGCCAAACCCCATCAATTATGTGAAGAATTGCTTCC